TCGCCTTCCAATGGAACCAAAGACGGACGAGGTGAATAAAAACAGATCACAAATAAAACCAATGAACTTTATGTAAAGGTTATTACCCTGAATTCTAGCTCTCATTATAGCGTTCTCAGACATAGTGAAGCACGAGAAATGTCCATCTGATATTCCCTCATTTAAAATTTGGTGCTTGAACCAGCTGCAAACCAAGAAAGGAGAAGTTGTTGACTTTTCACACTCACACACTGACTTTCTTGTCTTCCCATGACATCTCCTCCCATCCCTCCGTACTTCACTAAATCACTGGTTTCACTGTGAGCCGGTCGGCGGAACTATCCGGCTGTGTACTAAACACTGACTCACTATCTCTGGTGGGTCGGTGTGAAGCAACATTAGACTCTGTTGTCATTCACACATGCTTGAGAAAGAGAGAGAGAGAGAGAGAGACCCAAAGACAAAGAAAGGATGGAAACAAGAGGAAATGACTGTCTTGACTTTCAAAGTCAGAGAGGCGTGTCCAGATGTGGGTGTGTTGTTTACTCCATGGCTGCTTTTTGTTGAATGACTTCGCACATTCATGTCTTGATGAACCAGTCGACTGACTGGCTGCAGGTGACCCTGGTTCTAAAGAGGTTTTAGGCCCAGTTTGGCCTCATCTGTCGATGCAGCAGACAAACTGTCAGGTGAATACATTCAAAATGAGTCTGTGGCTCTGAAGTATGAAATGAGATTGTGACATATATGCTGGCATTTTCACGGTTGACAGTGCACATTATTACAGTTGAGCCTTCAGTCAGGACTTTTACCGAAGGAGAATGAGACCATTTTAACTTTTTGGGCCAATAAATGCACACAGCAGAGCAATAAGCAGCTGCTGTTATTGCTGTGCTAAAGCTGTTTTGCGACAAAGAGAAACCTTAGAGTGCAAAAAAAGGCCTTTTTAAAATTTATTTTACCAAAAGTATTACAAAATAGGTGATCTAAATGCTACTACCTTGCCTGGTAAACATTTCTAATGTAATTGTTAACAAATAGTATATTTAACCAATCATTTATTGACCTAAATGGCAGTTTTAAAACTCAAATAATCTAAGCGATCCATAATTACAAATAACAATCATGGTTCTCTTCTTTTGGCCCCAACTAAATAAGTTATGGTCCAATTTAATTTCCCTCCACCCTCTTATGTGTGTCCTCAAGATTACAGCTGAATCAGCGTGGGAACCAACTCGCTGCCACAGCTGCTAACTTTATCCCGTCTGTGCTATAGTATATGGGTTCAGCAAATTGTATTGCAGCAGGGGGGGCAGTAGGAAGGTGCTTGCCTCACTTTCCTCCCCCACTTAGATGAATTCATCAGCGTTCAGCTTCTCCCTGCTTTGCTGCACCACAGCGGGCTGGTGTGTAGAGAGAAAGATGCTGAGCAGTGTGAATTGACTTTGTTGCCTTTTCTCCTTCACCGTCTCCTCTTCATCATGAGTGACCCACTTACTGTATATATGTGCTCCTCACCTCCCTGGATATTTACATTCTCTGTATGAATTTCTTTTATTTTTTAATTTCAAGGTTTATAATCTTTTATCTCTAATCTGCAAACAAAATCTCTGAAACTGTCTGTTCTGGTTTTAAAATGTGAGCTCACTCAGGTATGCTGTCATATAATGACTGTGGCGACCAGTCAGTGGAGGACACTCACCTCCACTCACCTTTGTAGTCATTTTATGAGTGAATGCATAGCAACAAATGCTAAGCTAACTGCTCATTTTTTTAACCACAGAATAGTAGTTGTCGTATTTGCTGAAGTGTCAGTGTGGTGTTATTCTCTGACAGTCTTTTCTATCCCTAATTGTCCGGATTGGCCCCTGATTAGTAAACCAATAACTTTGGTGTGTCAACATTTCCACCTAATAAAGTTAATAATTACAACAGGCATTGTCTTAGCAGTGACAGCAAAAGATCAAAACAAAAAAACCTAGAGAAATTCAGCAGAGAAAATCCAACCCACTCTGTGTTCTTGAACAAAACCTGTACTTCTGGTTCACCGAAGTCAGATGTAACAATGAAGCCCTCGGCCGAGTGGAGTGATTCCCTGTCATGAGGAGACTGACTCTGTTTGTTTGTTCTGCGTGAATCCAGGTTGTGGTGAGTCACAGGGTCGGGCTGCCTCCTTCAGTTTTGATCCACCTCATCGATGAACCAGACTGAAAACACTGCAGGCTGTTTAACTCTCGGCAGTAACAAGATAATCCGACACGCACACACATTCCCTGCACCCAGAAGACACACTGGACAGCTTTTGTGTCTCTCCATTTTCTTCACTCCGACTCTCTGCTGCTGCCGGCGTTTGACTGCTACACACTGTCTAAACAAAGTTGTTTTTATGGCAACAAACACTTGGTTCCTTGTTCTTCCTCTGGCATAGATTCATCTCTATGATAAACAAACACTATTTCTTTTCCTGTCTTCATTGATGCTGGATGTGCAGACACACACACTCACACAGATGCGCGCACAACTGTTCTTATCTGTTGCTTCTTTGCATCAAACAAACAAACACTCATTGATTTCCCTCAAAGAGAGCATTCTTGGCACGGCAACAGTTAACTAGAATTAATGCTAAAACGGGAACAATAAGATGAACTGTTTAAATGTTTTTGTAGCGTAGGAGTCAAATGTCAGGTGTGATGAAATAAAAAAAAGAGCAAAAACAAAGGTTAAAATGATAAGAAGAATTCACAGCTGCTCTGCCATTAATCCGATAAAGACGATTAATCAACTGACAGCCTCAGGTGTTTTGAACACCTTCTTTGAACTCGTGTCACCTTCAGTCTTTTGACATTGAGTGCTGTTATCGCCATGTCACCCATTCAACTGTTATGTTAAGATGGAAAAAAAAATTCCCCTCAGGTTGTGGGTGTGATCTCAGTTATTTCAGGCTTTAAGTCTCCACAAGGAAAACTACAGGTTGATCTTTGATCTGTGTGTTAAGAGTGTGAAGGTGTTTCTGATGTTGTGTTTGCATGAAGTGTTCACACGTTCTGTGTGTGTGTGTGTGTGTGTGTGTGTGTGTGTGTGTGTCTGAACTTTGCTGCAGTCCTGCTTCCCTTTTTCCTTCATTTTTTTTCCTCATATTAATTCGATTTAATTGTCTTGATTTTTATTGATTTGTATTCAGATATATTTAGAAACATAAACATAAACAGGGAAAAGATGTCAATGCTTAAACTGTAACATAACAGTTACTGCAACAAATGTTTAAAATCTAAAAAGAAAAAAATTTAAAAAGAAAAAAATACGCAAAGTCAAATTGTAGTTGCAGTTCTCAGGTGTTGCATGGTTTCTGGTTCTTAAAAATAATTTGAAAAACCAAATGCAAAATGCAGAAAAATTGTCCCAGACCCCTCCACCCTCCCAAAATGGCAGCAGTGTGAAGATCACAGTGTCCTTTCTCTCCTCTCTGTCCATTAATCCCTGCTACTCTTCTGATAATTCCCATTTACATATATGCTAATAAATTCCCACTGCTCTGCAACAACAGCGCACACACCAACAATACTAATAGACCAGGGGCTCAGATGTGTGAAAGCACTAGTCCTGTAGTGTAGACCCCTGAGTACTAGGCCTGTATGCTGTAAGATTTTCTATTCATTTTGCATGAACTAGTGTGTATCAGTATGTGTACAACACAAACACTGTTCATGGACATCATGACGGATGTCCGTGTTGCACTTTCACCTTTAATATTTGTCTTCACAGTTAATGATTCACTGAACTGTATTCAGCATTACTACAGTATTACTAAATTAACACAGCAATAATATACTGCACCTTCACCTTATAACTCTTCAAAAAATCCTCTGCAACAATTCTAGAAGCAGTCACCACTGTGCACATTAGCTCAACCAGGCAAACGTGAAGCCACAGTGACTGAGCGTCAGCGCTGCCAGCTAAAATCATATCACATCTTTTTATCCTCGCTGTTCCTGCATCTAAATACCAGAACATGCTGCTGGCCAAACTGAAGAATCCTCACATAGGCATCTGCACTCATAAAACTTACTACTAGATTTTGGAAAAATCATCATAATGCCTTTATACTGATTATTTATCAGGAAAAGAAAAAAAAAAGAAAAAATCTATTTCAGAATACAACAAATTAAAATATTGAAAATAATTTTGAACTGAGTCGAGAAAACAAGGGGAATATAATTTAAGGATTGGTTTCAACCCCCTATGATTAATAAAGCAGTGAGACATTAGCAGTGAGGCAGACGTTCTCCTAGAACGTCCGCTGCTATTTTTACTTAATGCTATGGTTCAGTAGACCGTCATCTGAAACTCATTAGGAATAAACTTGACCTGAAGTGTTGCATGTCTGTCTTTTTTTTTTTTTTTTCAAATTTTACAGTACAGTTTCATATAGATTTTGTTTTTCACCTCTCGTCTAAAGGTTCAGTTACAGATTGTTGCTTCTGTTTAAAAAATAAGGCAAACATTAATGACAGACCTCGTCTGTAACCTGGTGGTTTTACTGCATTAAAACATAATGCAGTACCAAAGCCCCTCACGTGCAATTGAGCAGCAGACTTGACTGTAAAGTGTGTAATTATCCCATGTGTACATGTTTCCAAGGTGCTGAACACCCGACGTTGTTGCCATCATTCTCCCTGATGTCAGTGAGCTGTTCCACTTTATGGCTCTCATTCCGAGCAGGGAGATTTTGGGAGATCATGTGGTAGCAGCGAGGAAAGGTCTTGATCCTCCCTGCACAAGCCTTCTGGTTAAACAAAAACAGCGAAGAGAACACAAGACCTTTGAAACTGCGTTGATCGCAGTTATAGCCTCTAACCACCAAACCACTGAGCAGCCCAGCCCTGGTACGATGACACTCCCATGTGATGTCTGTTCCTACCAGGCAATGCATGTTTGGAACTCAGTTTCTGAGCTCCACTTCCTGTTTTCCTGATGTGTCCTTGTTTCTGCCACTCACTAACCGAGATGTCTTTATGTTCTAGGAGGAGGAGATGCCGGAGGTGGAGATAGATATAGATGACCTTCTGGAGGTCAACAGTGATGACGAGAGAGCCAGCAAACTTCAGGTAAAACCCCCGGTGTCCATGATTATTATTAGCGAGCCCTATTGTAGCACTGAGGAAAAGTGTCACCACTGAACAAAGTAAAGGAGGATAGAATGTACGTCAGCTCACCCTGACGCACATTCTAATAATCATTTTCTTTCTGTTTACTTTAAACACATAATAATAAATTCTAAAATTCCTTATAAAATACCTATGCAAACCATGTTCTTTTATCAAAAGCCTGTTATGAATAAGACATCAGGTTTTTATTCTCACTCCCTGTTTCCTCCTCTTCCACAGGAATCACTAATAGACTGCTACAAACCAACAGAGGTCAGTAGGTTTACTTTGGTCATACTGTTATTTGACAGTGACCCAGACGTTATTGACCCACTCATCCAGTGGTAAATGGAAATAGAGAACAATGTTAATCCATACTGTCCTGGATGTGTGTCTGGTTTGTTGAGGTCTGACGACGGCTACACAAAGGCTACGGATGTCCTTAATGGGCACATGTATTGTACACACAGGGGGCGCTGTTTGTTCTACTGTATACACACTCTGTGCGGTGTATCAGTTTACTCGGTAAAGGACTATATTTAGTGTGTATGTGCGTGTGCGTATGAATGATCGCGTGTCGCTGCAAAAGTGTGGAGTGTTTGTGTTTTGTGGAGGTTAAGCTATTTGGAAGATTATAGGAGACACAGACGAATCATATTAGCCCTACATACGCTGATGTTGTCCAGTCTGGACTCCCCATCTGTCATCTCTGAGTGTGTGTGTGTGTGTGTGTGTGTGTGTGAGCGAGGCATTAGGTCATTCTGTTTCAGCTGTTAGAATGTTACTGGTGTCCAGTGCTACTGTGGTGTCAGGCAGGTGGTGTTAATAGTCATCACATTCACACACACACACACACACACACACACACACACACACACACACACACACACACAGGGTGACCCATTGACCGTGGAGCACAGATTTTTCACCCATGACCACAGAGCCGGCGCCGGCTTTGGATAAACAGTTAGCGACAGATGACGGGGTAAAAGGTGAAGGTGACCGAGGGTTGGTGGACTGTACAAACAGTGACAGTGAGGACCAAACCGTTACAACAAGAGGGGCTCAAAGGATCCATGAAAAGGAACGCTAGGGAAGAATGACAGAGCAGAGTATAGGAGGAGAGAAGGAGGGGGAAGATGAGAAGAAGAACAGAGGGAACAAGAATAGAAGGAATCATCAGTAATTGGGTCATACACAGTGTTAGACTGATGTAATGAGTGGGATTATAATCCAGCATATTCTCCAGGGTTTTCTGTTCCTTTTATTAAATGAATAACATTTTTCTCCCAGTGCAGTTTTCCCTATTCATTTTTTAAAAACAACCCTGTCAGAATACTTCAAGCCTGTCACTGAGTGTGTAATTTCCCTTTTGGCAGAAATACTTCTGCATGTTATTTTTACATCCATGCAGCACCAACTGGACGTTTCTGAGTCAGTCTGGGCTCTTCCTTCCTCCCACAGTTCCCTGCTGCCCAAGTATCTAAAAAAATAAAAAGCCACATTCGACAATATTAGAACAAATGGAAATCAGTCAATGCACCAGATGTCGTTATTGCATTACTTCTGTTTGTTTCTACTTGTCTTTCCAAATTGTTTTTTAAAAGGACAATGTTCGCCATTCATTTATTGTCTCTCGGCTCGTTTTATTTTTCAGTATTTTTCTAACTGTGATGTTGTCCTTCTCCTTGCAGGACTTTGTCCGTGAGTTGCTGGGCAGGATAAGGGGGATGAGAAAACTCAGCGCACCAACCAAGAAGGGCCTATAATGGCTGCGTTATCAGCCGTCAGTCCAACATAAACGACATCATCTCAGCTCCAGCTGCTTAACCCATCCAACACAGACTGTCAACACATGAAACCACACTGATAACTCCTCTGCGAACCTCAGTCATCCATCACGTAGTCCACGCTTTTAGACACTGCAAGGTTGAATTTAATGTCAGACCGCTGACATGTAGGTGAACAAATACAGAATAACTGCATAGAACCGCAGGAGAAAAGTCAAAACCTTGCAATGTGCCAGAACTGCGACTGTGCTTTACCATGACTGTGACCCGGTCACACGTCAGAGCCATGTCCACACTCCTCAAGCCGACGCTATTATCTCAACAGCCATACAGACTGAGACACAGATAAATCACATTAGGAGAGATGGTAATAAAAAGATATTTGTACTGAAGTAGGTGTGAAATTAGCTGTAGCACTATGTACACAGTGCTTGATGATTTAGTCTTTTCTACTGAGGTGTTTTGCTGTTACTTCTTTTGAACGTACTGTATGTCGACTTTTACTGTTCCCTGGCGATTAACGTTCCTTTTATCAAACGTGTGGAAACCCTATAGTTTTCATTTGAGCACTAGGGCAGACCCCACTGCATCACCTTTCACCACAGCAAGGCATGATGGGTGTTCAACTCTCTGCGTGGCACCTGTATGATTGACAGCCTTTTCATCACTGCATCATCATGTCCGCTGCTGTCCTTCCTCGGACGACATATCGTATGATTTAAGCACAAATCCAAAGGGTTTTAGGTTCTGACACACACACACACACACACACACACACACACACACCAAGCTTACCTTCAAAACGTGGTTGATGTTGCCTTCAAGGACGTCCAGGGTCAGTTTCCTTTTTTACTCTGCACTGAACCTTAACTACTGATGGTTAAGTGAGCAGGTAAAGACAAGGTGAAGCTTACATCCTTTGGACCATGCTGGTCACGGTGCACCATTAGAGGTGTCTAACATCCTACCTGTTACAGTACATGACATGGAAGCACTAGTGTGACATTACATTTCCACAGTGATTGTCAGGTTTTTAAAACTACCTTTGAGTGGGAACGGCATCTAAATAGGTTAAAACAAAACAAAAAAGAGAGATGTAAAAATATATTCCCAAGTTTAAGAGTTGTATTTAGTTATTTTTAATGGTTAATACCCACTTGTGCACACAGACACACACGAACCTGTTAGCTTCGGTACAATCATAATATACTGTATCTTTATACATATATACATATATAAATATATGTGCATATATGTATGTATATACAGTATATATAGATAGATAGATACTGTGTATATATGATACATATACACACACTCCCGTTTTGCATGCTCTTAACAACAACAAAAAAACAATTGATGAGAGAATATATAATATAAACCTATACTCGTGCAAAAGAAATGCTTTCTTTTTGATCTAGCTACCATTTATAACTTTGTAGGATTTCTTTGTTGTTGCCGTTTTCCAACTTTTCAACCCAGGACTTTTTAAAAATGGTGCTGTTTTTGATGTTCTTCCCAAGTCTTTGGCTGTGAAATAAAAGGTGTTTTCACAGACGATTAACTCCAGAGAATTGTGTCTAAAACACACATTTGTCTTAATTGATGGAGTGTAGCCTCTTGTTTGTTTCCTCTTCTCGGTCTCAGACCAGAAGTCTCTGGACTTGTTTCCTGAATCACTGAGCAGAAGAAGAAGAGACGTTAAAGAGGAGGCCGTCGCAGGAAACTGATGCAGTTGGAAAATGTGTTGACGGTTGGGATTTTTCTGTGTCAAGAAGTGGTTTAGTTTAAAAAGCTAATATTTTATAATTTATGGGATTTCATGTAATTTTGAAGTGTCCATATTCTAGAAAGCTTTACATCTGCATGCATTTTTAAAGTAGCATGTTGAAGGGAACTCCTTGTTGTCCCAAAGGTTTTTTATTTACAAAGTAAAAATGTTTTTTCCTTTTTTGATACCAGTTATTTTTTGCTGTTGTTACTATTATTATGACAATTACGTAGGTGTTTATGTACATCCACAATCAACCTCCTTTTTTTAAGTTGTAATGTAATGTGCGGTTTGTTTTTGCTGAAAATAAAATTTGACAAAATCTCTGTACTGTTTAAAAAACAGATATCTCCTCTGGTTTTTATTAATGCAGTAAATATTTACCTGTGTATTAAAATGACAAATAAAGTCTTGTTCTCATATTCTAGTTTGCTAACAAGTAAAATCGTATTGTGCTGATTCATAGGATAAGAGAGTTCTGGTACCTAAAGAACACCATACCCATTGTGTAACTCTAATGAAAGAATAAAAAATTAAGCAGGAAGAGTACATTTTAATTAAAACAACCATTGATTTTGTTTTCTGATTTAAAAATATCCTAATTTAAATGTATTTAATGAAATTATCATTATTATTGTTTATTGGGTATTTAAGAAAATACTACTGTTCTTCCTGAGCAGATGATAGCGCTCATGCCTGTGATTCCGGGCCATATTACAGCAGGATTGCAGCCGTTGTGCTCCCTCTGCTGTGATTCCGTTCGGAGCTCATCTGAGGATGACATTATTGCTCACTGTGTGCATGAGTAGCCTTTCATGCAGTATGTCTACCCTATACGTAGTAACCTACTGGCCTACTGTGCACAGTTGCTAGGTAGAATGTGTTCATTGATTTCCTTGAATGGCTAACTTTGCCATGTGAAAGGCTGCTGCCTGGGCCTTTTTAAAGGAAGACCAGAATGAAGCTTGATGTTGTATGATCACTGATGTGTGTAAGGGAACATGTCGACCTCACATCAACCTCACGTCTTTTTACTCCTGAAGGCCATTCATGTGGAAGAATATGGGCCAGTTTACAGAGTAGACAGACAGCGAACAGTGAATGCATCACTGCTTTTTATTTCCCCCTCGGTGAATATGATAACGAATGCCTTCTGATTTACTGACACATCCTTCAACAGCCGTGTGGCATTCACTGCCAGAGACAAACTTGTGCACTCACTACTGCTGCAACATGCTGGAGGGAACAGAGAGCCAGGGATGATGGCAGAGCCTCCATGCAGCATGACAAAGCTGCATGTGCCTTTAAATCCCGTGACCCACTTTTCACAGCTGGGGCTAGCTGGCAGAGAGCGCTGTACATGCTGCCCGAATAATTGGGACTGCAAGGTGAATGTGAGGAGAAAGCTAAGGACCCCAACCCTCCCACTCCCCCCAACCCAACCCAACCCTGCTACTCAACAACAGGCTTTTATCAGTCAGCTGGCTGCACACCAGCAGATCTCACACCAGCACAGTCTCGAGCTGCTGCTGCTGCTGCTGCTGGTGGTCACGGGTTTTCCTCCAATCGAGAGTGATGTAAATAAAGACAGCTGGGTGACATCACAGAGGGATGTGCGAAGGGTGTGATATGAAATATCCTTGCAGGAACAAAGGAATGACCACCGCCATTAGTTATGGAGGCGATACTTGGTATTCCTTCATGTGAAATAGCCTCGCAGATCCTACTGTAATTTTAATGTGCTCCCCTCCCCCTCTCCTCTTCCCTCTCTTGATCCTGTACGTTCCTCGCCATCTCTTCCACTCTTGTCGTACTTCGCTCTGTTGCTCCCCTTCTCCCTTGTGGATGAAGTGATCCATTATGCCAGCACTTCAGAGACACGGATAGAGAGAAAGAGAGAGAGAGACAGGAGGAGTTGCAGGAGAATGTGAAATGACAGTGGAGGTTGAAAAAAAAAAAAGAAGAGGAAGAATTGTCCCTGCTCGTTTTGTTTTCCTCTAACTGGAAGAGAGAGCCCATCTCGTCTCCACTGCCGTGGAACCATCAGGCAAATGCCAGCGAGGTGTCACGCTGCTGTTGGCCTGATCATTCATTCATATGACAGCCACAGAGCATCGCTCATTAGCCTGGCAGGGGAGAAAAGAAGGAAGGGAGGCGTTATTGTCTGTCACCTGCCTGACAAAGCTCCTCTGAGAACACAGATACATAAAGTGAATGAGGGCAGCAATAATAAAAACATGTAACGAGTAATTAAAAAAAGATCATAGATTTTTTCTATGTTAAAAGACAAAGAGAGAGGCCTGCCGTTTGGTACAGACTCAAATTCAGGCAACCTGAACGCAGATTTAGCAAGAAACACATGGAGAAATGAAAATAAATAAATAAACAAACTGATTCTCTACATGCAGAAATATGGGAGTTGTGTGAACGTTCACAGTTAAGCTGTGAACATGAAGCGGCGTCAAAGACGTGTTTTGTAGGTGGACATCAACGCAACAATTCTGTACGTCTGGTTTGAAATGACACGTCCCAGCCTTTGTGGTGTTTACCTCATTATCTTCTTCATGCGTCTTTTAATATTTGCTCAGCGCCACATAACTGACAATATACCTCAGGATGTCGTACAGAGTACAGCTATTACAGGTGCAGAATCACAGCCGACACAGAGTGATGAGAAAATGGCTGTTAATTAGGGTGACAGCGTCAATGTCAATAATTCAATATCTCTTTGACGGCTATGTATGCGGATTGTCATTGTGCCTTGACTCAGATGCGACCTTCACCATGATGTGCCCCGAATCCAAGTTAATCCAAACAAATCAGCAAAGAGCACCGAGGACACTTGTCCTTAAAATCTGTCCCTCGATTTGCTCACCCCCCCCCACCCTCCACTCCTCTCTAACTGTAGATGGATGTCATTCGTCAAGAGCCTTGGAGCGTTAATCAACAAAAGAGAAGTCTGACATCCATTCACATTAAATCACCTGTGTAATCCTGTACCATGCAGGGACTATATGTATAAAATGTTCAATATTCATTAACATTTTTTTTTTAGTACAGATGTTGTTTTCCTCTCAGACCGAGTCATACCTAGTTTGTTATCATCGTCTTCATTTAAACACACTCGAACACATGACCCTGAACCTGGCCCGAGGGCTCAAACACCGCCCACAATGTTAACCCTGCACTGACCTTCACAGATGACCTCCAAGCCTTTGGACACAAGCGGACAGACAGAACAGTGAAAAGCAAACAAAGAGTACAAAAACAGAGCAGACAGTGGAGATAAGAGGAGAGGAGAGGCAGGGGGCGCTCTTGTCTGGAGGGTTTGTCTTTTGAAAAACAACTCACAGTGATGTCCAAAGTGTGTGTGCGTGTGTGTGTGCACGTATGGTGTGTGTTAACCATAGACTGTAGTACCTGCAGGCCACTATCTCCTCCCTGCATATCCCCCATCTGAGGATTTGCCAAACAGCAGGTTGCCATGGTTGCTGGTTCCTGGGAACAGATCATTTGGTGATTTAATGTGTGGGTTCTGGGGCCGTTGGGGGATGGTGGTGAGTGGGAGTGGTGATGTGTGTTTGGGGGGCAAGGCTGCACACGGTCTAGCAAACCGAAGCAAAATGAGCTTTGATTAGCATGCATTCAGTCAGGTAGAGAACCAAGTCGGTCGATCCTGGTTTTAATACTGATAAGAAATAATACTGATGTGTTCAATGACCTTTTGTTTTAATCTATTTGTAATCTGTCCATGTTGGTGTTTAGCTTTAGGATGATTTGATCTTCACATACATTATTATTTTTAAGAATAATAATGAATTTAATGATTTAACAGTAGCTGGGTTGTCATTTGTTGTGATCAAAGATATAAATACCATATAATAATCCAGATATGTCGCTTTTTAGTAATATTTTTGTGAATGTTTAATTATTTTATTAATGTTAATCATTACAGGAAAGTAATCTGAAGGGTAAGATTG